AAAAACTATTCCCCGTCAATTTGTTCAATTGCCGTGTATTTCCCATGGAATTGAATTACACCCAGACCACAACCCGTAAATAACTTTTTAGCGCCAGTCGAGAATAAAAGCTCCCTCTACCCACCGGTTGGTTTAGCCGAGACTTTACAATATTTACATCCACCGTAACTTTTCCGAGGCTTTTGGGTCCAAAGCGAAATGTACACGTGTACAACCCCGGGGGAAAATTTTACACCCACCAGTATGTACATCCACACCCACTTTGTAAAATCGTTTGTAGCGAGATTCTCTCGGACATGGGCAAAACCAACCGCTGGATGCTGCTCCCCATCTCTATACATTTTCCCCTTCGTCCATTCATTTTCCTCTTCTCCTGGTCTTTCGCACTCTACCAATTCTCCACCAATTTCACCCGAATGTGAAATTTTCTTGGAATTTCAGACAAAAAATCACGTGAATTTTCAAAACTATTAGTTTCAATCATTAAAAAAAATTCCGTCAATTCTTCATTCACTTTTAAAACTCAGGATTTTTCAAAGAAAACTAGAATTTTTAGAATTATTGTAAAAACCGAATATCAAGTAAAATAGAATTTTCAACAATTTTCACGGCTGTAAGGAATGAAATGATAATGGGGAAATTTTCTAATAGAATTTACTCTGACGCTGAGTCATTGTTTACACTGAGAAAAATAATTCCATCTCCCAAGTGAATTTACTCACGACAAGGAATACTAGGTATTTTAACGGGAATATTCATACGAGTTTTCATGGAATCCCGGAAAAAATATCCCAGGGAAAAAATATCCCACACATTCAAAACGTGTTAAAACTCGCTCAATTTAATTATTTTTTAATTTAATTATTTTTTTCGTTGTCTATTTTTTCAGGGGCTCTAATTTTCCTATGGCCTATCAAATTGGGTGGATTTTAACACGTTTTGGGTGTGTGGGCTATTTTTTCCGGGGATATTTTTTCCGCCTACCGTTTTCATGGCAGAAGAAAATTAATTCGGGAGACAATTTTTTTCTCCGTGTGGCGCAAGGTCAATTAAAAATTCAACATCCCTGGGGAAAAAGTAGAATTTTTCCCAAAATTCTCAAGTATTCCGCGAGAGTTCCGCAATTACTAATTGTCGGGGTAAATTTCATTATATGAATTTCCCCCAGTGCAGTTACACGAGGTTCTCTATTCCTCTCGGTTTTCCAGACTAATACGAGGTGCATCGTGCAAAGGGGAGACAATTCGATATTTTCCGAGGGAGAGATAGGGGTAGATGGGGATGAATTCAGAGAGGGTGGCTAAGTTATGTTACAGTGTGTTCCCGCGGTAAATGCTGCTTTTGCGTCGTTCACTGCTCATAATAGACGGCCTGGGGGACGGTATTGCGGGGAAAACAATAATCAACGATTATTTGAATTTCAAGGGATGAATTAATTCTCGGTGCTAGAGTGAATTAAAATGGCCAATGAAATTTTGTGCCTGGAGATAAAGGATACTTGTTCGAATTTATTACGACTTTATTATTAATTTATGTATTAATTACGGTAGATGTGAGACTCTCTGGAGAAAAATTACGGGCAATTCTTTAATGATAATAATTATTGGGAATTCACTTGAGGTCATCATTGATGTAATTGGAGGCTAATGAAGTTCTTCTGGGAATGACTCGCTTGTAGGCATAGGTCATTGAAAGAGTAAGTACTCATAAGTGAATGAATATTCGGAAAAAGGTTTTCTCCTCAAGGCAGTCATTTTTAGGAGGACTCATGAAATCTATTCACGTGAAAATCTCATGTAGTTTATCTGAGAGGAAACATCGCGGGGGCATAAACCAAATTCCCCGTAAAGCAAGAAATTTTCATCGTTCTATGAAAATTCAATATTTCATTCTAAAACCGGTGATTGGTAACACGAAAAACCAAATTTCCTTCGTTATTAATTGAAATTGAATTCAAACTCTCACTTAAAAGTGGAGGTGACGTAGAGAGTAAAATTTGAATTAAAATGAGACTCAGCTTTTACTGGATTAGAAATTCTGAGAAATTATTGAATTGTGTCGTGTCTGGGTCTGACAATTAATTGATCAATGAAGAATTGTATAAAAAATTTATGTCGCTTTGTTGGTGAAAATTTCAAGCGTAATTTTTAGAGATTGCTGTTTGACAGATAAACAGGCATCTAAATTGTCGGCCTAATGCCACTATTATTCGACGGGTGCGATCAATCTCTCCGGAGAGCAAACAAGATTTTCCATTGCAACACACTGAACATTTCCAGTCAAATTGTCGAATTGAAAACTGCACAGCGGTGAAGTATAAAAGGTAGATATCTGGTTTGAGACGAGTCTTGGTATAAAAGTTGTACACAGTATCGTGTACCGAGAGCCGCCCCATGTGATATCGAGGTCGACCGGTTCTCCAGCAGCCGTTAAGGGACATTGCGACATACAGAGGCGTTTGACTCTTTCTATGCACCACGACAGTTTGTTGAATGCATTGAGAACTCCGGGAATTGCTAATAAATTATGATTAGTGGTGTGCCAACAGGCCCCCTCGGGTTCGTCGATGGGACGACTAAAAAAATTCCTAACTGAGCAAATTACTGTCAACGCACATCCAGCACATTCGTGTTTTACATTACAAGTACTTAGATGTACTTGACTATTTGATTTGCATCATCACGTCGCCACCATTAGTTCCATTTGCAATTTACTTTTCAAATCTCTATTGAGAAAAACCGAAAATTTTTAATTCGCCCAAACCCTAAATTAACTCGAATTTATCTGCATCTAATTCGAATAGCATTTGCAAATGTGATTGTTACGAAAAAATTAAGTAATCTGATTGATAACGCGCCAGATGTGTTTAATAGCTCAAAGATATTTCGCGAAAAGTTGAATTGGCCATTGATACAGTGCGATTGAAATCGTAGAATAAACATTAGATACAATTTACCGGCCAATTATTCCCGATAAAAATCGTTAGTGCTGGTAATTGACGGTATTATAACTCAATTCGATAGGGGAAAAAATGCATCACTTTCTGAATTATAACGCGATAAAGATAATTTGCAATTTTCACGATTTCTCCCTCGATCTGTGCTTCCCACTGATTATCATAGAAATTACAGGGGAACCCGGAGGGCGGATGGAACTCGCGGGTTCTTATACAGCAGATAGTGGGGCACGATTGAGATATTGAATTGTAATTACCCGGAGATAACGAGCGCATAAGGGACGCGGTTTACTTCACCATGTTATTACTGTCATAATTGGAAAAATACTTGGTGCTTGTATTAATATCCCTCCCCCTCTTGTAGATTCAATTAGCTACCGTGTACTGAACCTCAATTCGCGTTATTTCGATTGAAGTCCGTATAAATGTATTCCTCTTAATTAAACCAGTATAAATGTTTGGATAATGGCAAATGGATTTTGCATGATTTGAATTAATCGAAAAACGTGGGTGAATGCACGTGTCGATTGAATTTTTTTTCACCTACGGGGAAGATAAATTTCCGAATTTGTATTCAAACGCATGAATCATCGACGATCGAATTAATGACGCTAAAGAGTTGATGGATAATTGCGGGGGAAATCGAAAGTCGTTGGCGACGTACGTGCAACAGTTCGTGTGCTAATTGAGTTTATTCATGGGTTTAATTGGAAAATTTATAAAACGGAAAAAAAATGGAAAATTAGGGGTTGGCAGAATTTCAGTACGCGTTTTCGTTTCGTTATAATTTTTTGTGAAGAGCAAGTTTTTTCTGTGCAATATTATTCTATTTTCTCGTTGAAAGAAAAAAATGAACAATGAGTCCAAGTGGAGAGAATAAAAAAAAAATGTAAAACCGATCGACAGAGTGGGAACATAACAACTTCTATCTCCCCCTTCCAGTTATTGTCCAATTTTTCTTTTGCCAACGCGCCTCATCATCGTCTCGCTCCACTACCGACGAGCGGTTTATGATTTTGCTTAATTAATGGTCTCCTCGAGCCCACGATTTCCCCGCACCCTCTGGCTTTCGAGAGAACCAACCATTAAAGCGCGCGTTACGCAATTTAGGAAAATTGCGAAACCTTTGATTCATGGCTGACACGAGGAGGAAGAGGGGCGCTGGAGCATCTCGGGCTGAAAAACTTGGGGATTCCACGAAAATGATATACAAGCGCGAATTGTTTCGGGACACGAGATGCATATTTGTTGAAAAAAATTTAGGGTTTCTCGGGGTCTCATTACAGCTCGGATCGTGGGGGAATTACTTAGGGACTAAATTAAGCCGTATCATGCCAGTGAAAGAAGGTCCTTTGAAATATTTAACTGAAAATAGTTACCAATGACTACAAAAATTCGTGAATTTACTCCGCCATTAACAATTTTTCAAAATTTCATGGAAACTATGACGAGTGGCATTAAATCCAATGTACAAAAAAAATGAGGAATGAAATAAAAATTTTACAAATGTACTGAACAAAATGTCACGCATTCAATATTTTTCCGTGAAGTATTCTGATATTGCAGAATTTTTACGGTGTAATTCAATAGCAAAATCAATCATCGTATTTTTGGAAACCAATGGAATATTTGATTTTTCAATGACAAGAGTGCTTCAAATAGCAGCGAATAGCTCTGAAAATTTTTGAACAATGCAGAGGAATTTTATTTCACTCTCGATTCGACAATCACTCAATTAAATATTTCAAATAACTCCATGATTGCTGTCTCCCTTAATATACTAATTCAATAAAATAAGTGGTAAAATGATACAGTCCATTTTTCCAGTTATACTAAATAACGAACGATCCAAAGAAAAAATAAATCGCATGGTGAAATAAAGGATTCCTCCAATGTTTCCATCTCGAATGGATAAATTTCCAGATTGAATCGATAATTAATAAAAATGTTGAATGTCAAAAAACTAGTTAAACCTCCACCAATGAAAATGAACGTGAGTAATAATGAGGAAAAAAAAAGAAATAAAAAAAAATGTCTACAATACCGATGCTATTTTGAGTACTGAGTTCCCAGTCTTTCATGAGGATTCCTCGTGCAGGTCAGGATGACGGCGACGTGGATGTACCTATAATACATAAGGATCGTTTCGTATACATAAACCTTAATTTTTTTGACATCATCGTATGCAGTAAATAACATCTCTCGATTAACAGCTCGTGCGAGTCTATAAACTCTCTTTGTTTATTACATCTAATAATACCCATAATGAATCATCGCGAGGTGATCCATCTTGTCGGTTGAGTATCTCCAACCACGGATGAGTGCAAAAAAGTGATTACAGGTGTAGTAACCTGATAACATGCAATTTACAGATATGGTTTCGAGAATTTTATAAATAAATGAATTTCCCGAAGTGTTCGGCTATCTAATGAGAAAACGCAGACCCGAGGGTGAAATAAATGGGAAAACACTCGTGAAAATAGAGAAATCAGAGTTTATGGTGGGCATAAAAGTCGCTATAATTCAAGTTCAGGGGAAAAAATATGCCTGGACCCGGGGATCAAAGGATTATTTCACTTTATTGTTCAACGCTCTGGGACTTTCACGTTATCCAGGGTATAAGGAATAGCAAGTGAAATCGTTTGTGGATAAAATCCGTGGGTTGCGTCTCCCCAACCAGTCAACCTCTCGGATGATCATTTTCGTTAGCAAGTGAGTAAATTTGCGCACACGTTACGCTCCCAGGAGTCTTCGGAAAGCGTGAAGACAACTACCCGTCACTATTGTGCATACAGTCATAAATAAAAGCGGAAAAAAAGTAAAAGAAAAAAAAACAAATGGAAAAGTTCAACCCTCCAGTGAACGCTGGAATTTTTTGCAATCTAGTCCGTCCCTTCCCCGTTCTTCTGACATTTTTCCAGGTTTTTCTCCCCCTCCCTCCTCTCATTGTTATTTATTTTACCTTTTTTTTGCACTACGGAATTACGTAAGAATGCACGAAGCCTTCTCACTGGTTTCGTCCGATTACGGTTACTCGTGTTGCGAGGCACCAAGTGTTGCCCACTTTTGCGACGCTTCGTTGAACCCCATGTATAAGTCAGCAATTTTTTTTTTATCTTTGGCTATTTATTTTTGTGAGTATAGTTGACTCTTCAACAGCCATTCGTTTCTTGTTTGAGTTGGTAATGGGTGAACTCCACTCGTTACTTTACACTTCGGGGAAAATTCTTGCTCAATGCAATGGGAGTACGGCGAGTCAATTAATTATTCGCGTTGTAAGAGAAAATTGACGGAACTGGAGATATTGGGCAATCGCTGATGATAGTGTGTTGTTCGTAATATTCAAAATGGACACGATTTCCCCTCTGAAATTTCCCCTTGTTTCTTGACAATTTAATTTATTTTCTATTAATTTTCAATTTACTTAGAGTAATCAGGTTGAAATTTCGCGTGTCAATTAAAGTTTTTTTTTCGCGGAATGGTAAATATTGCAGGGCATAATTTCTTGAAATTTGCAACTGTCAAATTTTAAACGGCTCTAAGATATTTTTTATAGGCGGATATTTTATTCATTGCTAACTGAATTGAAAAGAAAATGGCAAGTTGAAAAATAGTAATTTGCGATACATTGAACCTCCGTGAAGTTCAGAACCTCGACAAAATACCCCATTATTCTATTCAGGACGAAACTTCACAGCATTACCTGATACATTACAACCTGAACTCCATTTTATTCACCCCCGTGGTAGTAAAACGGAAAGAAAAAGCCGACGAGGTGCGAACAATGCACCTTCTGTATCGCCCGAGAGAAAAAAAAATCCGTTACGCGAAGAGTGATCTTCAGCAAAATAAGAGGGAAACGACAAGAGAGCAAGTTCCAAAGCGAAAAGTTTATGCGCAGCTTCCGCTTTATCATCTCCCCCTCCCCCCTTCCCCCTTTTTTTCACCATTCCCATCTACCCAGAATTCTTTTTTCATCACAAAGTCATTTTTATCGAGATTTTACGTGAGCACTGAGGGGCGTCCACGCAGATATTCACTGAGGGTTTGGATTTATTACTTCGACAAGAGTAAAATCAACAAAAAGACCTCATAAATAATGAAAACTCACTCTACCATTACCCAGTGCAAAATGTGAATAAATAAAATTCACTCAGCCGAAACAAAAGGGATTTTAATTTCAATAATGAATAAAAGTTGAAATTGAAAATAAAGGGAAATAGCGAGTGAGGGTTACAGCATCATTTGGCCAACAGAAATAACCATTGGAATTGTATAGATATGTATCCACATAGAATGAGGCAAAGGATTAGTAGCGGACAATTAACGCCCACGGTTTGTCCTCCACCTCGATTTTCCACCCTCCCTCATTTCACCCCTAGGGACAATTCACTCTCCACCCACCCCAGTAGCTAAATCCCCTTCCGCATCCCCCTACCCTCCACCCACCTGGGTACAAGTTGCCATTCCAAACGAGTAGTGGGGGGCGCATTCAATTTGCAAATGCAGATTACTTTTTATTTTAATAAAAATTGTTCGAAAACCAAGCCTGTAATTATGGTGAGTGGAGGAAATTTCCCCCAAGAGTTGTACTTATCCCCCTTCTCCCCCCCCCCCCCCCCCGACCTATGCTAGATTTATATTCATTTATTTTTTTTTATTTTTAATGGACCGCTTATTTTATTTGCATCCAACAATTGGCAAAATAGAGGAATAAAATGACGTATAACTCCGCTATTGCGAATATTCGAATATCAAAAGCTCGTTTGTTTATTTATTGACGTTTTTGATGTCGATGAGTCTGTCGACTTTTTTGGTTATACGATTTCGCAATACAAACGAAATTCCCCCCCAACTACCCCGTTTGATTTCAAACCCCTATTGCCGATATAAAAGCTCGGTTTTTATCGCTTTTTTATACTGCTCGTTTGTTATTTTGATGGAATACTGGTTTACAAGCGCATTTGAACGCTTGAATTGATCAACAGAAACATACACAAAGAGGGTTGAATATTCCGAGTGCATTTATCAGGGATAATGGGGAAATACTGACGAACGACAAATTACGCAGAAATATATTTTCACTTTTTCTCGATGAGTATCTTAGAAACTGGGGGATTAAGAGAGAAATGTTCCAGAAACTCTTAGAAACAGAACGAAATTTCATGGACGATTTAGCAGTAATTCTTGGGTGACCATGGTATATCGTTGGGAGGAAAAAGAGTCGTGAAATTTCTAGCTCTTTAAGAAAATTTTCTATTTCTGAACTGCAGTTTGAATTATCAATTCACATGTGAATTTAAATCCATGGTTAGCCAAAATTGTCCTATCGATTTATTTGTACTTATGGAATATTCTCTACATCACCCCACCGGCGAATATATACATGCGAATAATTATGTGCGACATATATACGTAACATACCGCGATTTTGACCGAAACTTTGTCTCACATATACGGATATACACCGAATATATGGGGATAATGTATATGCTCATTTTTTTCTCGCGCTCATATATATGCAGAATGTATCTGACTACATACTGCATTTTCGGTCGAAATATACGGCATACGAGACCGAACGTACGCTGTACCACGTTGTAATTATAAAAATTATAATTAAAAAACTGAATTCAAATTAGCCGTCTAAAATAATTGTAAGGTAATGAGGAATAATCACAACGGAGTTTCGAGATAGCAATACCTAGCGAGTTCGACCTGTCTGTCCTTTTTAGAATAGAGAAAATCACCTACAACCCTCTTTCCGTACGTATAACGAATTGATAAAGAAGTAAATTGGTGAAACACAATGTAAATAATTAGTAGGAAAAAGGGGATAATTATTGAGTACAGTGATGAGTCAATAAAAAGACCACAGAGTATCCTTGAAAGTGCATTTACGAGGGGTGACTAAAAGCTCACCACAACAACGAAAACGCAAGGCCCGCAAGGGATGCTCTCCAAGTCCTCTCTGGTGGATCATTTGTATACACGTACAGTGGCTGGATATACACCCAGAGAGAGGATTCTCTTCCATTTCCTCGATGAACATTCGCAGAGAGTCGTTGGTAGCCAAACGAGAAGAGGAAGGGGGTTTTGGTTGGGATAGAATTGGATAGGACATAACACAAGGGAAGAGCCCAGTGGAACCAGTCGAATTCCTAGCATACCGCGGGCCAACTGGTTAGCGAACGATTTACGATATTGTAAACCGATGCGACGGCGGGTGAACCCAACCACCCGAACCTCAATCTAATAGTGGTGACTCTAGCCTCTAGCCAACGGTATGCAGCATACTACATTGTTGCTCACCGAATCTGCCACACTCTACCATTCCCATCCCCCTAGTCTCTTCGTGTAACTCACTGTGTCTTTAGACAAATTTTCCGCCTCTCTATCAGCCTCACTTCCACCCTCACACAACCACTCAATACTATCAACACCTATCCCCTAATCACGATTCACTAAAAATCACGCCTAAGAAACCAACTGGACATCTGGACACATTAAATCATGAGGCAAATCCCTACCCCTCAATTTATTTTCACACGCATCCAATTCAATTCTGATTCAATGTAACATGCAATTGTCAATTGATGATGGTTAAGTCGAGAGGCTATCCATTGGTTTAATCACGGTGTCGCATTTTGTTATGTTAATCCCTCGGGTTGGGTCATACAACCACTCGAGAGGTTAAGGTTGATTCAACTATTGATGATTAGGTAATAGTTACCAAACCGCTAATTTGTCTGACACATGCATGTTTGCATAATGAATTTTCTATCACGGGAATTCAAGCATAATGCTCGAATGTATTTCACGACAAATAATAATCGATAATAATTGAAGAATGTTGAAAGAAGAAAAAAAAACAAATATGTGCGGAAGTATGAATGCCCGTTGTTTACACGAGAGAAAATGAATTCGCCGATTGAAATATCAAACGGAATCAATGATTCGAGATGCAAGCGATCAACTCCAATAATTCCCCCATTTTTATCCCCCTCCGAGAGGGGGAATAAATAAAGCTAAACAGATATCTGTGTTGAAAGAGGGGGAATGAGACGGGACAATCGACAATTGGAATCCATTGGCGTTCCAAATGGAGCCCAATAAACCGAGTGA